ATTTATCAGTTGTGAAAAAAATAGTATTGACTGGGTGTGGTAGTACATGCCTGTAATCCCAACATTCAGGAGGCTGAGGCAGGAAGAGCTTGAGTTTCAGGGCAGTCTGGGCTACATAATGAGACCTTGTCTTGAAAAAAAATGGAAGAAAAAGGATAGCATTGTTGGTCTTGTTATGATACTGTCTTTAAAAAGATTGTTTTTTAAAAATAAGATTATTTAAGACCTTCTTCATTGGAAGGGAGCAAAGGGGTTAGGTTGTCTAATTTCCTCTTAAATTAATAGAATAAGTAGGCATATGGTTGTCTATATATGTTTGTACATACATGTTATTACCTAGAAATAGCCCCATAATCTTGCAAATTTTAAGCAGAAGTTCATGTCTATTTCTGAATTTTCCAAGATTATTATTTTTTTCTGTCAGTACTGAAATTTTGACCTCAGGGCCTTGTGCTTGCTAGACAGGTGCTCTTCTCTCAAGTGGCATTGTTACTCAGGCTAGCCTGAACCCTAATCCTCCTACCTATGGCTTCCCATGTAGTTGGGACCACAGATGAACGCCAACCTGCTCAGCTTATTGGTTGGGCTGCGGGTCTCACTAACTTTTTTGCCTGGGCTGGCCTCAAACTTTGATCCAATTTCTGTCTCTTGCATAACTAGGGTTATAGGCATGAGCCACCATGCCTGACTCAAGATTAATTTTTAGGAGCCCATAAAAAAATCTAATATACATTATAATCCTTAAAGGAGCAGGAAATAAATGTAGATGATTTTGTGCATATTAAATAAATATAACCACTGACATACAATTTATATTTCTTATTGGGAGAATGAATGCTGAAATGGAATGGTAAGGAAATAATCAGGGGTAGAGTTAAGCAGAAAGGAAAAGGCAAAAGATAGGGATGGAGGACAAGTGCCAGAGGGAAAGGAAAGGTGTGTATTGGAAGAGGGAGATTGATTCAGCAGATCTTGAGATATTGGGTTTTTTTTAATGTTTAATTGATGTAGCATTCCCTGCCATCTTACATACTATTTATAGTTTTTATGTTTTCTTAATCCTTGTTTTGAGAAGGTCATAATGGAATAATTGATATAACATATCATGGTGGAAATTTTCTGAATGATAAAGCAAGAGCTACTAAAGAAAGACCACTTTTCTAACCAGATGAAATGAATCTTCACCCATATTTTAATTTATTACAGTGAAGCTCATGCATAGGAAAAGTTACAGTGGGTTATAATCTTTTGAGATTGAGTTGTTGGCATAATTTGATTTTTCAAGCAAGATCTTCTTTGTTGTGAGACTATTTTATGGAGGATATTATCTTGCTTTTATTATTAACCTTTCATGTCTTCTACTTTTTCCATCATTTGCCATCTCAAATTACTCTGGAGTAGAGATTGGAATCCAGCTGTTGAGGCTGCTCTCTATTCAAGCAGAGAATAGCTTTGTGTTTCAGTTGCAGGCTGGTCTATCATTGCTTGGGTAAAGTGATAATGGGTTATCATAAGTAAAATTTTGTAAAGGCTTTCAACTATATGGTGTATTTCATTCTGTCCTAAGGTTTGCTTTTCCTTTTACCAAAATTAGCACATTAGAAAAGATAATAATCTGATGAACCTAGTAAACATTAGAAAAGTCAGGTAGACCAAATGATTTTGAGGAAAATAAACCAAAGACAGGTGGGAGAACAATTTTAAGAAAAGTGAAATATCTTTTTGTAAAAGTGATCCTGTAAATGTCTCCCACAGTTCTGCTACCACTTTATTTTGTTGCATGCATTTATTTTTACAGGCAGGGAAGTTTTTATTTGGGCATTTACTTCTCTTATCTTAATCCTATCTGATTCTTTTTTTCATTTTCATTAGTTTATTTTTCTGAGATTTATGAATCAAAGTCCAAGTTACAGTGCAGACTGGGACTATCTCATTTTATATGAGATCATATCCTCCTTAGGCCAGCCCAGCTTTTCCTTCATTTTTAAGTCTGTGCCTCCAAAGTCATCCCTTTCCAATATCAACCACCAATAGGGATGTACAGGAAGTTCCCTGTATATCTGTCAGTATCCCTTTGCCAACTCGTGGGTGATAGCCAATCTTAGGTAACAAAAGTTTAATATCTGTCATGGTTGAAAAAAACTGAAGGACTCCTAGTAGGTAAGGACCTAATAAATGTTTGATGGATGAATAAAGAAATAAAAATGCAACAGAATATAGCTTATAACTGAAGTCCTTAAGGATTGAAGCTGTTCAGGAAAGCACTTCTGTCCATAAGCATAGCCAGTTGAGTTGTGCAGACTTTAAGTGTACAAGTGTCCCAGTATGTGTCATTCGTGATTACTGTAGACCTCTCCTTCCCTGGTGCATTCATGTGTAAGCCTGGCCTGACCGGAGCTGTTTGCAATATGTGTACTCACAAGACTTCCCGGGAAAAAGGTCATCAGGCATAGGGATTCCACATTTAGCTTTGCTTTTAGTATGAAATGACTAGTGTGTCCTAATAATGTGAGGAATCAACTCTCATTAGAACAAATGCCTGAAATATAACCTTACAAAAGCTAAACTTTCTCAAGTTGATTACAACAAGATCTTTGGACACATCTGCAGGCCAAATTGTCAAGGCAGAATTCTAAAGTCCCAAGGTTTCACATTTTGCACATGCCCTCTTATTCCATTGTTTTGAACCAGGTTGCTATACATAGAGTGCTTTAGCAGCCTTGATTTTAGAGACATAAAGACTGTTGTTATTCCTGTTGTTGCTGATTTAGTATTACAGCTGCTTCCTCTTTATGTGATTTAATTTGAAGTTTCAGCCCACCAGGGGGCTATTGGTCCCCCACCTTTGCAATTTTAAGAGCCGACTGCTGTTTGCTACATGGATGTTATTTCCATCCCTATTCATAGTGATTTTTCCCTTCTATATTCATCTAGCAACAGCAAGGCACTGTTCCAGGAACTTGCTCTCTCTACATAAGGGATAACATGGAACCATTTGGATGGAAAAATTATAAATTAAAATTATTCTGTTCATTTTTAAATATTCATATTGTGTTGCTCAAATGCCAGTAACTGGAAAATCATGGAAAATGTCCTGTTTTTCTAACCTCTTTCAGAATGTTTTAAAATCTGTTTATATTGTTACTTAGCCATCTCTTCTACTGGAGTGGATTTTGTGACAAAAATTTAGAAAAAAAGGTTGCATGAGTCCAGTGTCTGATGGCATATATAATATTAAAATAAAACTGATAACGTTAGTTGCCATCCATTTTTAAATGAAAAATATTTGTTCCATCTACAAAGACTGTTTATAAAATTATAAGACTTACAAAGCTAGCCTATAGACATGCCAGACTATTTCTTTGGAGATTAAAGCTTTTTATTAAATCATTAAAACTAAGCAAAGGCTTATTTTTCTGATTCTAAGTATTTAATTTAAACTCAGGGAAACCACATATTCATCCCACTAATGATTTTAGAAAAGTAAAACCTCTCCAGCTTTTTTACTGGCGCTCCCTTTTGATAACTTCTGTTCTCATTGCCAAGTCAGTAATTCTTTAATTTTGAGAAACTAAAATTTTACGTCTATTTTTGGTGGGTTTTTTTGGTTTTTTTGAGACAGGGTCTCACTGTGGGAGCCCAGGCTGGTCTTGAATTGCAGTCCTCCTGCCTCAGCCTCCTGAGCACTGTTATCCTTGTATTTTCCATGTTATTTGGGTATGGGTGAGGCTGTGAAAACATCTTTATGTGAGCTGCATGAATTTTGATATAGTAAATATAACCCTTTTCTAAAGGAAAGAATAGTGACTGGGGAAGCTTAACTTCAAGCTGTATAACATATTAAAGATAGTGTTTTTTATTCTGTAAATCTTAATTCCACATTCACATATTCATGTACAAACCATGTGTTTTATTTGTTGTCTCACTTGGCTAGGAATATTTAAATGTATTTTTGAACCTTTTTTTGCCAATCGAAGGCAATTTAAAATGATAATTTTAAGATACTTTCTAGAAACTTACTCGGTGGTCTGGGCTGAAGTCAACTTGTGTGCCTGTGTGTTGAGGTTCTTCAAAAGCAGCAAATCACTTGAGCATGAACAAATTTCACAAGCTCATTTCATTGTTTGTTTTAGCCTTGCAAATCATTGGTCTTTTAAAATTGTCTAATCCTTTAATGGAATATGGGTTCATAAGTGTTCTGATGTGCACCAAGAAAACTTGGAAGACTCTTGCTCGCCTGTTTTATTCATTTTAAATTGCATGAGATAACCCAAAAGTATTTCCTATTGACTTTTGGAGGGATGTTATTGCAAGCTATAATACTTAAAAATAAGATTCTTTGTACAACAAAAAATACACATACCTTTGCTTAAAGTCTGATTGATGGGAAATAGTATGCAAGAGCTCAGTAAATGAGCTTTCCAGCACAAGCAGTTTATGTAGCAGCCAACTTTTCTGAGCACAGCAATAAAATGAACACTACTTTAATTGAATAAAGGAGACATTATAATAGCTGCTACAAGAAAAATGGTTTCTTATAATTAATAATTTGTGAGTTAATCCTTAACTTGACTTGACATTTTTCCTTGGGTTGGTGAGAAAATGATGAGTAAGTTAACTGCTGACAGCTCCTATTCTGTGGAGTGACTGTTTCACTTCCAGGGCTGTGGCGTTCAATAAAATAGGTATTCTCTGAGGTAGGGTGATGCCCTAGCTTGATCAGAGTGTTTTGGCGGAGGCATGGGTGAACTGATTGGCTGTGAGTCATAATCACTTCATAGGACTCACTGAGAATTTACAGCATTGTTGTAATTCTCTGGTGTTCATGAAATGAACTTAATAACCCACTGCCACCTTGGGATAAGCTGTTTTCTCTGAAACCGAATGCCCACACCGCCTGCATAATAGTGTTGAGAAATACTGCATTTTTAAGTGGGCAGCTGTACGATGAAGGAAACAGCTCTGCAACAGATTTGTTAATTATCTCCTTTGATCCACAGAGGGTGTTTGTGAGATATGGTTGACCAGTGAAGACACAGGGGCCTATGGCAGAGATATTGGCACCGACCTCCCCACACTCCTGTGGAACCTGGTGGAAGTAATTCCTGAGGGAGCAATGCTGAGGCTTGGCATGACAAATCCCCCCTATATTTTAGAGCATCTGGAGGTAAGAAAAGCACCCCATTTGCATGCTGACACAGACACTCACCAGCCCAGACCAAGTGCTGCCTCAGGATTATCACATGAGCTTCATTTAAAACCACTTTCACATTTGTTTGTGGTTCCACATTACCAGGAGTGAATCGAGACTTTCAAATCCCCTTCTCTGTCAATCTACAGGATTTGTTTTTGCTTCCTCATTATTATTTAATGTTGCTTCAATTTTTTAGTACTTGCCACCTTGTTATGATTCTTCATTGCTTCTTTGTAATCCTTCCATTTCCCAACATACAAATTTCACTCAGTCCCCACAATGTGAGTCCTTGCCTACTTGAGAGCTGCTAATATGTTGCATTAATATTGCGACCATCAGTCAATGTTGTATTATCTGAACCACTTTAAACCCAGTCAGTAATGATACTCTGCCTTAAGTTTGAGGGTAGTTTTTCAATTCTGTCCCTTTATCTATAGATACTTGGGGGCAAAGTGAAATCAAAAGGAATACAGAGCTTGATACTCCTTCACTAATTCACCTGTGATCACTATGAACAAAGGAGGTGATGCTGAGATCCTGGTTTCATTTCTATATCCATGGATAGTGATTACCTTACCTGTCTCCATGGATTGGGATAGTTACTGTTAACTAGCTGTCAAACTAGAAAAAATGGACATAAGTCTCAGGAGTGTGGTACCTGATGACAAATGCCATAATAAACCTCAGCAAAGCATATGAACAAGGGAGCAGCCACTTAAATGAAAAAAGAATATGCTAGGACCCATGGCTGTTATTTAAGAAGTAATTACCTTACCCATGGTATTAGACATGAAATCTAAGTGCTATTAGAAAGTCATGTGTAAAGTATAGAAACTCTTCTCTTATTTTTAATCAGGTGTGTTCTTTGCAGTATGTTCATGTAGAAAACCAATCTCCCAAAATGCTAAAAGCAATTATAGTTGCCAAAATCTACTGCATAAATACAAATGATTATCTAAAGATGTTTAAATTATTTGAGTTGATGTTAGTGGACTTGTTAAGACCTTTGTTGAAAAGCCACCTTAATATCAACAACATATTTTAGAAATTCTTTATACAGAGGTTGTAATCTCATTGGTAATTATAAATATATAATGACCTTTGTTGAAAAGCCACCTTAATATCAACAACATATTTTAGAAATTCTTTATACAGAGGTTGTAATCTCATTGATAATTATAAATATATAATGAAGAAACTTGGCAATTTCAATTTTGTAATTCTGATTTGCTAACTAGATCTTTCTACTGAAGTAAGGGCATATGATTTGTATGTTAAATTTGTTATCTCAGATAGTGTGGGCTAATTATGATTTGCTATTTAAAAATGAGTCACACACATGTCAACTTTTACTTAACACTTTGACTCAACACTTGAAAAAGCAAATGATTCTCTGTAAAAATTGAATATGCAAAGAGCTGTGGCAGTCTTACTTTGTTTACAGTAAATGTGTGGCACACATCATGAAAACCCAGCAATGTGCTCAGTGTGTCTTTGGGAGGAAGGGAAATGGGCCCAACCAATATACAGTTGATGGTAACATGCCAGTTTCTTGGGATTGGAAAAACCATGGTATGTTTGGATTAATGATTCACACTGTCTGGAAATAAGAACTTTTTCATTTCTTAATACTTAGAGAGAACCTTCACAGCAATCCAGAGCAGGCAACAATCCACAAACGAAGCTTATGTAGCAGAGAAGGTAACTGAGCTCTGAAGGCTCACGTGGCTTCTGTGTCTTAAAGAACCTGAGGGAAGGGAGCTCTAATCCGGTGATCCTCAGTCCCATGCCCAGCAATACATTGTCTGTCCTCATTTTCCTGTCAATAGGCCTAGGCCACTCTACAGAAATTGCTTGACTTACCTGAAGAGTGCTAAAGATAGTTCACCAATAAAAAAAGGGGGAAGCGTCTAGGGGGAGGACAGAAAATGAAAACAGAAAAAATAGCAGTGAATGAAGGTAGTGGTTTTTCTAACTGGAAGGATAAAAAGAACTCATTCTTGAAATAACTACTCTGAGCCTTAATTCCCTCAGAGTGAGGATTTGAGAACTTTATTGGTAGGACTCAGCCTTCTTGTGTTTCTAGGAGATGCTTCAATGACAGTCTTTAATTATAGAGCACTTCACTGGGCTGTTTTCCTTCTTCTTCATACTGTTCACTCTACATTCACTGACTCTCGAGATTTTCTTTAAACCTTTTTATCAGCTTTTTTTTATAGTGAACAGTTTAAAGGGAAAATTATTTAAAGAAAAACTGCGAAATTTCTATATTCTTATTTAAAAGTATAGTGTGGAAAAATATTTCAGTTGAGAATACATTTAGACCTCTGTAGGAATAAAAGATGCATATTGCACTTGATATAGGATACATTTTAAAGGTTTTTTCAAGAGACTGCCATTGTATCTTGCACTTTATATAGTAGATATTGAGTAAATGCACCCTGACTGTAAAGGACTGTCATTAGCAGACAGACAAGTAGTAACGTGTCTGTTTTGGAACATTTGCAGTCCCTATTTTTTTTAACTTGCTGTGTAAAAAATACATAGTATTCATTTTAATGATAATTTAACTGACAGGTATTTCAAACGTAAATATGATGGAACCATCGTGGAAATGAAAAAGCATTACTATTCACATATGTAATCCTATATTAGATTTGCATAACATTACAGAAACAACAGAAAAAATGAATTAAAAATACTTACCTCTTCTTAAAGTCTATTGGTTGCTCTCCGTTGCCTGTGAGCTAAGAATAAGCTCTTTATTATTATATTCAGGGTCTTTGAGATCCTTTTTTACCTGTCTCCACTCTCTTCTCCCCTTAGTAAGGTGACCACCTGTGTAGCCTATATTTATATATTCTTAAGCAGTTTCACACTCCTGAAATCTTTATCTTGTTTCCATTCTATATGATGACAATTGGTAGTAATATGTTAATCAGAAATACTAGTATTTATTTCTATGTTTTGAGCAATATATTGCCCCTTTAGTGACAAATTGGAAACATTTTCCCTGTGTTTGCTTTCCTGTTAATGTTACTCATGTAATATCCCTGACATATTCCTCTTTAGTGAATGCTGACCTTATAGAAAGTCAGGCTGCTAGTGAATTTGATCAGTTTTATAACTATATCACTTAGCCCTGCCCTCCTAGTGATATGAAATCCATACCCAAGGAATTAATTCAATACAAAAATAATGCACATGAACTTGGCAAGGTGTGGTCAGACAGTGATAGAGATGCAATTGCTATTGCCAACCAGGCATCAGAAATTAATGCTAACTTTTCCCCAAGATTTAATAATAATGATAAATCAGTACATTTTGTCAAGTGCTTAGTATTTTTAAAAAGCCAGGCAGCTTGCTTTCCACATGTGACTTCTTTTGCTTCCTATAGTCCTATAGATATTATTACGTTCATTGTATTGATTGAGAAGCCAAGTAGTAGAAAGCTTATATATAACTGGCTAAACCACATAGCTAGTTTGCCACTGAACTGAATTTCTAATCTTGTAATCTGAAATGCTTTCTACTGCTGCACTGCTTCTTCCATGAAACCTCACCAGACTTTTGCCACAACAGGCTCTCTCCATATTCCTCATGGAACACCCTACTTACTTATGTAAATGTAACTCCAACACCACTGTTAACCATTTTTAAGGAGATGCTATCTGTATTAATTAGATTTTTCTTCACTGTGCAAAATACCTGACAAAAACAACTCAAGGCTTTTTTTTTTTTTTTTTTAATGGCTTACAATTTCAGTAGTTTGAACCCATCATACCAGGGAGAGTGAGGTGAAGCAGCTCACATCATAGTGGCCAGAATGCAGAGAGACCAGCAGAGGCCAGGGTAAGATCTGGCTTCCTAGACCTTAGACATGCCCTATGACCTACCTCTTGCAGCTAGGCCCTACCTCCCAAAGCCTCTACCACCTTCCAAAATAACGCTGTAGCTGGGAACTAAGCTTTCAACACATGAGCCTATTGGGGCATTCCAGATCCAACCATAACACTCAGAACCTGGCTCCCAAATGTTTACAGTTATTTCATAATGCAAAATGTATTTAGTCCATCTCCAAGAGCCTGCATAGTCATAAGAGTTCCAACATTGTTCAAAATCCAAGTTCAAAGTCTCTTCTGAGGCTCATAGAAAACCCTTAGTTGTGAGCTCCTATTTTTTTTTAAGTTACATAATTTCAAGGTACAATGTAACAGAGTTAACATTCTCATTCCCAAATAAAGGAATAGAATAGCAAGGGAAGATTGAACCATAGCAAGAAGACATTCACCCAAAGGCAAACAATAATCCTATAGCTTCCATATCTGGCATCCGGAACATGTGATGGTGTGGTGTGATCTCCAAAGGACTTGAACAGCCTTGCCTGTATGACATAGCCAGTTTTAGCCCACATCGCCTATCTCCTGGTCTGCCTGTGCTCTTGGCCCACAGGTTTCCTTAGCAGAAGTTCCATGTTCTAGGCTTCTCTAACCTTCTGGGGACTCTCTTTTGTCTCTGGCTTCACCTTCACAAGTTCATACATCACTTTCTCAAGGGGCTGCCTTTAGGGATCCTGACTCTGCCACACATTTCCTAGTTTCCCAGGCCTGCCTTTGAAATCTGGGTGGAACCCCCTGTGACCCCGTAACTCTTATATTTTCTGTGCCTGCAAATCAGGACCACATGGACAACAGCAAGGTCTGCCACCAGCTCAAGCAATATTCAAGCCATTTTGGACCACTGCTGCAGTGGACTCTGAGAATCTAGATGGCTGATCATTGGGAAACACTTCACTAGGTGGCCCTGTGCTGCCAGGGAGCCCAAGAACTCCTGTCTTAAAGCAAAGTCTTTCAATGAGTTAAAACCTTTACACCTTGAACCTGCAATGGGTGGGTTCTGTTCTAGCCAGTTCCTGTGATGTCCTCAATGTATCTTTCCTATTGTTCCAGTGCAAAATATTTGGCTGAATTCAA